ATAGTTGAATAGTCGAATAGTTGAATAGTTGAATAGTTGAATAGTCGTTGAATAGTTGAATAGTCGTAACGACTTAACGAGTTCTACACTACTGTAGACGTAAGTGAATAATTATTATAACGGATAGGTCAAAATAAATAAATATTTCATATTTCTTCAATTATTTTACCAATTTAAATCTAATCTCAGCAACTATTTTGTATTATTAAAATCACCATTTGATGTCCTATAAAACTTTAAGTTATAGAGAAATAAGTCACGATCGCGAATATTATTTTTTTCCAGCTTGCATGGTAGTACTTAAAGAAACCAGAGTGGTCCATTTGGAAGAGCATAAATTATATATCGAAGTCATTTGTAAACAAAATTTGTATTAAAACCTTTGAATATACCGAAAATCATTTGTTGAAATAATGTTATTTTTATTTTGAAGTCTAGAGTCTTTATTATCGTCTGAGTTGTGCAATACGCCGAAGAGATAAATACAACTTCAGCGATCCAGAATGCCAAAATTAAACCTTTGAAAGCTAATACTTTTCGTCATCTGAATTTTTTTCTCTATAGTTTTGTCATAATTCATTGTAGAGAAATTGTTTAACAATAGTCTTATTTATTCCAACCTATTCTTTATATTTTATAATATGATCTATTGTAGGCAACTTATGTCTTAATCGTGAAGTAATCAACTTACTGTCATATCGTGGCATATCCAATGAACATATTCTTGTTTTTCAACTGCGAAATATCTTATGGCTTATTGCGTCATTTTTTTCCAATAAATCAGCCTTGTGCGTTCTTCGTGATAAGATTCTTCATGTTTTACCATGGTTACAAATTTCTCGTCATTCAAATTTATCAACCGAACCTTTTTTTCGTCGTCTTCTTCTTACAACAATTACTAATAATCTTCATCAAATAGTAACAAGAGCTCATATCCGTGTTCCGAAAGCACGTTATATGTTTGGCATCGTTGATGAATATAAAGTACTTAAAGAAGGACAAGTTTTTATTCAAATTACTGATGAAGATGGACATAAAACTATTTTGGAAGGACCAGTTGCTATTACAAAAAATCCATGTCATCATCCAGGAGATTTACGTGTTTTAAAAGCTGTTAATGAGAAGTCTCTCCATCATTTATATGATGTTTTAGTATTTCCTCAACAAGGCTCACGACCACATGCCAGTGAAATATCTGGATCGGATCTGGATGGTGATGAGTATACTGTCATTTGGGATCCAACACTCGTACCTATTTCACCTAATCCAACTCCATACGAGTATGATTCTGGACCAAGTCCAAAGCCTCTTAATCGTATCGTAACGCGCAATGATCGCTTAAAAGTTATATTGGATATTTGTGAACAAGACAATTTAGGCCGTTTGAGTAATATTCATCTTGTTCTTGTCGATCAGCTCGGTATTGACAGTGAAGAAGCAATTTTATTAGCTGCTGGATTAAGTCAAGAATTAGATAGCGTAAAATCAGGTGAACATCCGTATACATCAGATCAAATTAAGAACATTGTTAACACAGCTGGTACAACTAGACCTGATTTTATGCAAATATCTGATTATGAAGTGTATCAATCTCAGAAAATACTTGGTAAGTTATATTTATATTACATTTTGACATAAATTTAAATAGATTTAGAATTTTTATTTTTGTCTAATAGGAAAATTATTTCGAAGTGCTCATCATTTAAATGATACATTTAAAAATGCATTTTCTAATGATAATAATGACATTAGTCTTGATCGAAATCTTCTTCACACAGGTTATGAAGAATATATTGATTTTGCACAAAGTCTTTACAAACGATATCAATTCGAGATGTTAGAAATTATTGGATCTTATGGATTTTCTAATGAAATTGATCTTTTTTGTTGTATTGAATCACGTAACATGAAAGCCAATGAAAGAAGTGATATCCAACAAACAGCACAACAATTATTAAAAGCAATTTTTCAAAATATTCGAAAGAGTTTTAATAATGATCTTATAACATATCATAAAGTAAAAGCTAAAGCAGCTGCTTGTTATTACGTAGCATATACTGATACAAGTGGTAAAGACAAACGTATGTTAAGTTTTCCTTGGTTATTTGCTGCTCCACTTCTTGTCGATTATTCTATTGCTTCTGAAGATAAAGAAACCAATGATTTTATGGAATATATGTTCAATTCAAATTCAAAGTTGTACCATTACCTAAAGAAACAATTACCTTCTATGATGAATCTACTCCCGAATGGCAAACAATTTACTTTTATGAAAATTTTGGAAATATGTTTTGAAAGTGCATGTGCTACTAATAATGAACAAATGATTAATTATGCCGAAACACTTATTGAAATGTTGATTGCAATTTCAAAAACATAACTTATTGTAACTGAAATCTATTTATATTATATTTTTGTTTTAACAAAGTTATTATTAACGCTTAAATTACTAATTTATTTATCTATATTTGATTTTTTTCTTTATCATCAAGAACAAAGATATTTTTTACTATATTATTACTATTCTTATCAAAAATTCAATTCATATCAATCCTAATCATTCCTCCAGAGCTGGGCAACTCAACTCAAAATGGTGGTCAATTCAATTCAAT